CCTCGGGCAGCAGCTCCCGCTGAGCACCAGGGAGCCAAGAGAGCCACCCGTGGGGCTCTGCCACCCCGCGGCCCCCGGCCCCTCGCCCCCAGCGCTCCTCGGCAGCTGCAGCACAGCACGCTAAGGCTCTTTTACCAGCAAACTTCAGGATGTCCCCTCCAAAAGCCAACATCTCTGCACACAAAAGAAAGCAAGARAAGYGTTGYGCAGCTGCTCCCACCGACCCTCAGGGCCACAGAAAGGCCCAGCCCGCACGAGGAGGCAGCAGCCCGTGGCGCAGCACCTCTGTCTCCTCATGGCCCAATCCMCCACACGCCTGCACAGCAGCACTTACCTTCCAAGATGTCACCCATATAGCGATTGAGGGTTTGKGTGACCTCATCCGCACCCCGGTCGAGGCTGGTGCTCTGACTGAACTTCTCTGTCAGAGCAGTGAAGCCTGAAACAAGGACACAGCGGCACATCAGAAATCAGGAAGCAGCCACATGGAGCAAGGCGCGGGCACTGCCCACACCACTTGCACCCCCTCAAGAGAGGGACACAAGCCCGGACAACACACAGGCGCCTCTGGCAGCAGGCGCAGCCGCCTCCCTCCACCTGCGCTCAGGAGCACACGGCTAGCCGCTTCACACCCCTCCACATTACACCAAGCACCAGCCTCCTGGTTGGGACCCTCCAGCACGGTCCTCAGCCACCTCACCTAACGCCTATGGCTAAGGACTAGGCGAGCACTACTTGCCCAAAGGGGAAGACCTCAGCAGCCAAGAGGTCCCCTTTGAGCCACTCRTTACAGCCGCTGGAACAACAAGGCTCCAAAAGGCCCCCAAAATCCCAGTAGCTGAGGCCGCTGGCCTCTTCTCAGTGCCTGCCCCTCGTAACACTTGCACCCACCTGAGACATCCGCAAAGAGCAGCACTCCATGGAAGCTCTGAACCTTGCGGGTCTCATGCCTCAAGTCCTCAGCCAAAAGGAGGTCCGGGACGAAAGCAGCCACTTCCCCCAATTCCGTGCAGCGCTTTGAACGTCGCTTCCAAGCACAAGCCATCGTCGGTGCCCTGTGGTACCCGCGGTACCTCAGACGAAGACGAGCGTGCCCAGCACGAAGGACGACCAGACAGCGCTGCGCAGACTCGCGCACTCAGCCCGGGCCCTTGTGAGGCACCCTTATCCCTCTGCCACCAGCGCAGGCTCACAAGCGCCTCACAGTGACATCAGCCACCCGCCATCACTTACCCGTAAGCTGACAGCACGCTAKGGGCCCGCCCAGGAGAGAGCAGCCGCRMAAGGCRTCGCCCTAACAGGGGCACCGCAGGCCTCCCCATGGGAAGGGAGCACAGGGCACTGCACACGCTCAGCTCCACACTGCCCACGGGACTGAGGACACAGGGAACAAGGCCCCGAGCTGCTTTGTGCACATGCACTCGCCTCAGACGAGGCAGAGGTTCAATGGGAACACAGGGGACAGCAGGGGCCGTTAGCAGGGCTGTGCGGCAGCATGGGAAACCAGCTRTGTCCATCAGGRGCACATCAGAGAAGGGAACAAAAAGTTCACAGGGGTGCCAAGAGGCAGCTCCAGGTCCCTCAGCTGAACTAGCAGTGCTCTAATGGGCACAGGTGGGTGGGTGTCAGCCTTCAGGTGGGGCTGCTCAAGGCCAGCWGGGCCCAGTAGTACCCAAAGGCTCTTCCTCTGCCACTAAGGGAGTCCTCACACCTCACAGAGAGCAATGGGGTTTCCAAGGCCATGTGCTGTGGAAAGCCCCAATCTCAGAGCTGTGGGGTCCTTCATGCTCCTCTAAGGGGTCCCAGGCAGGGCGTGCAGGGTAGGGATGTGTCCCAGGCCTGGGAAAAGACATTGCAGGGGAACTATGTGGCAAAGCAGGCAACAACGTAGAGGCTGCCTTGAGAAAACTTTCTTGGGTAAAAGTGTCTCTGGTAGATACGCTTCTGGATTAGACCTAATGGGATCCTGGCCTGCATCAGGAGGAGTGTTCCCAGCAGGTCAAGGGAGGGGATCCTGCCCCTCTATTCAGCTCTGGTGAGGTTGCACCTGGAGTATTGTGGGCAATTATGGGCTTCCCAGTATAAGAGGGACGTGAACCTTCTAGAGAGGGTCCAGCGGTTGGGCCTGTTTAGCTTGGAGAAGAGAAGGCTGAGAGGGGATATGATTAACATGTATAAGTTCATGAAGGGGTGCGGGACAAAATGGACTCCAGATGGTTCAATATGAATCATACGAAGAAGCCCCTTTATTGCAGATAACTAACCCTTATATACAATTATTCTATCCCTAAATGCGGGCGCACACTCCTTGACAGGACRATTCTCTGATTCAAAGGACAGCATGCATTCTTGCTTGGCTGTCGGTTGGTCAGTTCATGTCTTGGTGCTCCCCCCTTGCATCCCTCTCTGCTTGGCTCGCTTCCTCAACGGACTTCTTGATTTTCTCTCCTCAAGGCCACCTTAGAGACAGAGCTDTGTGCTTTGTTAAACATGCCTCTTTTAAATGTGCTTTGTTAAACGTGCGTCTTTTAAACGTGTTGTTAAATGAGCTATGTGCTCTGTTAACCTTCTTGTATGGCTGGTTCAGTGTGCCCACTCAGAGTTTCTTCTAAGTGCCTTCCTACAAAGGAGGAATGTAGAGAGGAAGGGGCCAAGCTCTTCTCAGTGGTGCCCAGTGACAGGACAAGGGGTAATRGGTGAAAACTGCAACACAGGAGGTTCCATCTCCACGTGAAGAGGAACTTCATAACTGTGAGGATGATAGAGCCCTGGAACAGGCTGCCCAGGGGGGTTGTAGAGGCTCCTTCTCTGGAGCACTTCAAAACCCTCCTGGATGCCACCCTGTGCCACGTGCTCTAGGTGTCCCTGCTTGAGTGGGAAGGTTGGACCAGATGATCTCTAGAGGTCCGTTCCAACCTTGGCCATTCTGTGATTCTGTGAAGAGCCTCGGTAGTCTTCTTCTCCCCCAAGGAGACAGAGTTAACACACACACCGCGTGGCACAGCACAGTGCTGCCTTGTTTATTCAATGCACATGAGCCCCTTTTGGCTTTTGACACTATTTGTGGCGTCTGTTCACACCACCCTGGCCCATGAGCGCTTTTGTCCTCATGTGGTGCCTCACAGACGTGCAGGCACGCACTCCCACTGGGGCAAAAGCAGCAGAGGCGCAAGCAGGCAGGTCACGGCCCTGTCCCCGACCTGGGTGCCTTGTGCACGAGCTGCTGACATCACAGAGGTGTCAAATGGCGCTGAGCGTCACATGGAGACACTCTAGCCAGCACTTTGCACTCTCACATCTAGAAAGCGGGGAAACGTGTCTCAACTTCCAGTCAAGCACAGTGCCAAGGAGCCAGCAAGCCACGGACACAAAGCACTGCCCAACCGCAGCAGCCTTGGACATCTGGTTGGCATGGCTGTAATGATAAAACAGCATCTGTAGGGCGCCAGCCTTGCAGCTCCTCCGTGTCTGTTTGGGCTTCCGAAAGGGCTGTGGCCTGTGCAAGGTATAAGATCATGCTCCTTGCAGGTGGATCCCAGCCCCTGAGGCTCATATGCTTTTGGGGGATGGTGCTGGCTTCAGAGAAGTTCAGCTGCCCAAGCACGTGTAGTTGTCAGTATCTTGAAGTGAACTGCACAGGACAACAGCTGCAGGAGTTCCCTGCGACCATCCCACTGGATAGCAGGCAGCTCATTCTGGCAACAAACAACATCTCGCACCTTCCCCCAGTGGAATTGAGCTTCCTCGCTGATCTGGTCTATCTGGACTGCCGGGAGAACCGCTTGGGGGACCACCTGGATTTCACTTTCATTGGCATGGCCAAGCTTGTCTACCTGGACCTCAGCTTCAACCGCCTCACGCACGTCACCTTTAGCACTTTCTCACAGCTCATCAGCCTGGTAGTGTTGAAGATGTCGGACAATCCCAGCCTTGTGCAGATTGAGAAGGATGCCTTTGCCAACAACACCTGGCTGAGGTATCTGGATGTGAGCCGGACTGGCTTACTATTCCTGCACACCAGCACTGTTCGTGACCTGCGCCACCTGAGGTTTCTGGGGCTCAGTGACAACCCGTGGCACTGCAACTGTTCCTTCTTGGACTTCACCACCTGGATGACAAAGACCAACATTCATTTTCCAGGTGAGGACTGTGTAACCAGGACCCCCGTCCTACTATTGTAGTAGATCTGGGTGTATCAGAGCAGGCATTCTGTTCTCTGTCAAAATCTTGACACATTAAAGACTTGAGAATTGGTGGCAGTCAGCGCGAGTTTCTTTCAGTCATGGGGCTGTGCCACTGCATGTCAACTGCAGCTCCAGTTGTAACCAAGATGAAAGCGTCTAGGTTAAATGCCCTCCATCCCACAGAGAATCACACTTGCTATCATACTCAGGACATTAAGAGAAGCCTAAGGAAGTGCAGCCAGTAGCTAGAATATTGTTACTTTTAAAAAATGCCTGCCCAGCCTCAGGGGGTATCACTGCGTCTGCGAGTCACAAGTACCTTACGGCTCCAGTTCAAGAGCAAGGAGCTCTGCAGCAATCTGTAGAGAAGGCTACTGCTCTCATTTTTCTGCCTTTTCTTCATCTGCTCTGTAGATCATATCTTTGTTTGCTTGTGCAGTAGTAGTATCTCTGGTTGCTGGTGCAGTAATATCACTGTGTCCTTACAGTTGGTCAAAATCCTTCTCTCCACAGCAATGYATGAAATATTGTTCTACTCGAACCTCCATTCTGATTCACTTTGCTCAGCCCTGAGTTCTCCACCATTCTGCCAGTGTCCCCCACCCCTCAGATACCTCCTGCTGCTCCACTGCTACACAACACTGTGGGAAGACAGATCACAGAATCACAGAATGGTTAAGGTTAGAAGAGACCTCTAAAGAYCATCTAGTCCAACCCCCCTGCTCCAGCAGGGACACCTAGAGCACATGGCACAGTGTGCTATCCAGGCAGGTTTGGAAGACCTTCAGTGAAGGAGACTCCACAACCTTCCTGGGCAGCCTGTTCCAAGGCTCTGTCAGCCTCACTGTGCAGAAATTCTTCCTTACATRGACATGGAACTTCCTGTGTTCCAACTTATACCCATTTCCACTTGTGCTATCACAAGTATAGCATAATACAATATAAATCCCCTGTTGCTTGTTTCTCCCCTCTACTTCCTTTCCCAAAGGACCCTCATCCAGCATCTCAAGTGATGACTGACATATCTCTGCCACAGTAACTGTGTTGGTCGCATCCATTTGAAAAAAAAAAAAAAAAAAAAAGGCGGGGGGGAAGACAGCTGTGACAACTTCAAACATCTTCTGCAGTACCAAAAGGAGCCAGTGCTTTCCAAGGCAGCCAGCCTTCACTAGCTCCAGAGGGAAAAGTCAGCATCTGTTTCCTCACGGTGTGTATTACAACGTGGCAGGACATAGTCATTGTTTCAGTGGAACCGAATACACCTAATTGCAAACAAGCTTAATTTTCCAACCTGACTGTCTGGGTACAGGCCTCAAGGCCTCATTATTCCAGCCTAAAATGACCTCTTTCAGTTTAGCCTATGTCATGTTAGAAGTTGCTTAAGATTTAAAAAAAAAAAAAAAAAAGTGGGGTTTAGGAAATACCTCCAGTGTTTTCCTAGCAGGACTCCTATCCACTGTTGCTCAAGGCGCAGACAATTTAGCCCTGCTTTTTACTGCTCTCTTTGCAGATGCCGAGAACATCACCTGCTATGTGCCAGAAGGTCTACGTGGTTTGAAAATGCCTGCAGTGCAGGTGCAGCTCCAGGCCAACTGCCTGACCCGACTGCACAAACAGGACTACATCTTTCTGTGTCTCATCGGCTTCTGTATATTTTCGGCCGGCACTGTGGCAGCCTGGCTGGCTGGCATCTGTGCAGTGATATATGAAGTCCACACAGCAAAGGGGGAGGATGAGGAAGAGGAAGAGGAAGAAACAATCACTTAGAACTGGCCCTATGAATCCTTCTGCCTGTCCTGGGCTCTGAAAGCAGGCCCTTAACGATCCATTTTTGCCTATTATGTGTCCCATTCCAGATGTGATTTTTGTGAAGCAAAATAAAACTGCAAGAGAACAAAGTTCTTGTTTTATAGTTTCGTTCATTCTGGTACCTCCATATTTATTTGTCCCCTGGAATGAAGGACATGGACAAAATATTCAACAGCCCCTATGTTGTGCTAACTCATTCAGGGAAAATATACTAGCTTGTAAAATAATCCAAAGGGATTTCAAAAAAAAAAGACTTTATTCACCAGTGCAAGATCCTTGTGATAAGAACACCCACCATCAACTAGCATGACTGTTATAGGGGATCAGCTTAGTAATTAACAACTGGCAATTAGCACCACTGACTAGGGTGCAGTGCTTGTTCCAGTAAAATGCTATCACATTTCTCCTCCATGAATGTGCAAGGGAACTCTTAACCTTAAGGAGTTACCTGAGGCCAGCATCCCAGGAAAAGGATATTCCTCCTGACACTAACATTCCTCCTCTACCTCATGATACCCACAGAAAAACAGGATCAGCACAGGGCCTATCATGTCACAGGGACAGGCTTGAGGAGTTACATCCCATGACACAGGAGAGGTCCCAGAACYGTGCTGCAACCAAGGAATTTTCCTTTATCAAGGTCTTTTTGGCCAGAAAGCCCAGCAGAGCTTCCAGGAACCAGCTAAGATAGCTCACTGGTGCGCCAGAGAATCCAAGAATCTTCCTCCTGTCCAAAGGCAGRGATACAAGCAAAGAGATTAAAACCAGAGTTGTGAGGTCATTTAGATGCAGACTCTAGAGCAGGATGCTCTGTCACCAGAAGCACTTGGGTTGCAGGAGTCCTTTGTACAGCCCAGGAGCAGCAGTGGGTGCCAAAGGCTACGGGAAATCACGTTATCTGTTTCCAAGTCTTAACGTGAACACAGGAGTCCAAGGTTAAGCCTTCAGTTTCTGAAAAGTTCAGGTGTGCTGTGCCCTCCCACCCTCCCCAACGCTGCCAAATTAGGCTGTTCAGTGAGAAAGAAGCAAAATTTCTCCCCAGAGAAACGTTTAAAGAAGAAGCCTTCACATGTCACAGTTAAACAGAAAGTCTGAACCTTAAGAGGAAAAACAAAAACAGGCATTTATGAAGCTGTCGAGGAAAACACCCAGAAAAGCCCTCCAGTTGAACCCCAAATGGCCTTAATTGCCTAGACAAGGACATKGAGCAGTCCCTAACGTTCAGGAGGTGCCCAAATCCTTCTGCGGGCGCTTCCCTGATTCGCCTGAGAGCCCCATAAGCCCTTGGCAGAGAGGCGAGGGGCAGAGGCCCGCACCCGGYCGAGGCAGATTAGCTCCCAGGCCCGTCATAGACCACATCTGCAGTAGAGCTGTTCCTCTCGGGTGTGATCCGGAGGCCTGCTCTGAGTGGGCTGCAGACAAACTGCATTAGCAACAGGCTGAAGAGTTTTGCTCGTTTCGCGACTGCAGTCTTTTAATGTAAAATACATTGCCTAGACATTATCAGTTCATTCTTGGAAAGCCCAAGGGCTGTGTATGTCAAACAGACCAGATCAGGGGACATAAATAAGATCCTTGATTTTCCTCACGCTGCTGATCGCCAAGGGAAGTATCTGCTTGCACGTGAACATGCAGCAACTCCGCGCCTGAACCCTTGTTTGCCCGRTACCTGCCAGATGAGGCAAAATGAAAGGGAAATCTGCGCTAATTAACAGGCCCTGTCCTACAGCCACTAAACCACGGCCTGTCCGTAGAGTGTGAATCATACGGGAAATTACAGAGCCGAGCGCAAGGCCAGCTCCGGCTGGGCGGTGACGGTGGCGGTGACGGGGCGGCCACCAGCTCCGCCCCACRCTCCGGGCCTGATCAGTCTTGCCCGCGGCGCTGCGGTGAAGGTGAGTGCAGGCCCGGGGCCGCGGGGAGGGCGGCGGTGGCAGTGGTGGTGGCAGCAAGCGCCGGGCACAGGCACAGCCTGAGGACAGACGGCCCAAGGAGAGACYCGCGCGCGCCCGGGGGCACCTCCTGCCAGCAGCCCCCTTGGCGCTGGGCCTCTGTGTCCGGTCAGAAGCGCAGCCCAGGCCTGTGCAGGGAGCTGTGTCCCCTTGGAGGGCTCTCTGGTGGCGGGCTGCGCGCACATCCTTATCACGGAGCAGCTTTTCCCTGTGATTTCATCAGACCCCCGTCGCACCCCCTCCCCAGGGCTCTGCTGCGGCGCTAGATCGCTGCTGTGTCACTGCACGATCTCTGCCTGCCGCGCAGTGCTGCGAGCACGGTTCAGCCCCAGGCTTCTGCTCCCCACCAAGTAGCCCTGAGCAAAGGCTGCTGAAAATGCAGAAGCCCTCAAGACCAGGAAGTAGCCACAAGGCATGCGCTCGGAGAGATCCTGAAGGTCCTGCTGACTTTGAATTGCACACAGGTAGAGCAAAGGTTTGCTGCATGGTTTTCTATCGGTGACATCTCGGTATCAGTATCGGTAGCTGCTTCATAGAGGAGGTGGCTTCATGCATGCTCAGGCTGGGCAGAGCTTTGCTGCAGCAGAATGGCCTTTCGCTGCCCAAATTGTTGCTTTTAAGTTAAAGCCATAAAAGCACAGTTTGTAACTCGGCACTGCGAGAGGTGGCGTGCCTGGTCCTTGCTGTTAAGCCTGGGGTCTCCACCAGGCTTTTAATTGCAGGGGAAAATATCGCCGCAGGGGGAATGCCCTGTGTTTTCAGTGTGTTTGTCAGGCGGTAGCTTCCATTACATGCAGGTACAGCTGGCATCTATTAGTTGTTAAGGAGAACACTGAAAACCCAAAGCAACTGTTTACCAGACTTCATGTGGACAAAGCCCTTGGGATGGGGCAGCAGGAGCACAGAGTCACCAGAAGGGCAAGTGTTTGCACTAGGGAGAGCTGGTCCCAGAGCATCCCGTGGCAGTGGGTTTGGCAGCTTGGGCAGTGGGGAAGAGGGAGAAGCGGGCCTTGTTATTTATATATTTACATAGTTCATATATATATGAGCCACAGGCTTAGTGGTTCAGTCTAACAGTTCCCATAGCCCAGCTCCTTTCAACTCAGGGGGTTTCTGAGTCAGCTGTAGTTTGTCTATATCATAACCCCAACTGAGCCCTTAAGTTCATGAGAACTGCCAGTATCCACAACATCCTTTGGAGAGCAAGGAGCTCTACAGGCCTAATTCTCATTGCAGGAAAAACTCTGCTGATTTTGTTGAGTCTATCTCTTCCTGGCTTTATCTGATGATCCCTAGCTCTGGTGGTAGAAGTAGCAATGAGCAACCAGTTTCTGTCTACCCTCCCTAGCTTTGTACCTCTCACTGAACACCTCCCACTTGGCCTGTTTTCCAGGGGGAAGGTGAAACCTCCCTGCCTTTCAATTTCTCCCATCAGGCAGTGCCCAGGTGAGGAGGATGTAGGTCCATTCTCAGCAACTCCCACACGCTACCGCACRTAACCAGGTGCCTCTTCTCCAGTCCCGCCCCCAAAAAGCAACGGTCTCTCTTTTCTCACAGTGCCAAGATGGTTGTTCTCTCCAAGGAGTATGGCTACGTGATCCTGACAGGGGCTGCCAGCTTCATCGTGGTGGGGCACCTTGCCATGAATGTGGGGAAGGCCCGCAAGAAGTATAAGGTGGAGGTGAGTGGAGGCAGCGCGGCCTTGTGCCTCAGTCCCTCATATGGGCCAACACAGCAGCCACTGCCCCGTCCTCGACGGTCCATGTGGGGCAAGGGCCTGCTTTGTTGCTGGGGTAGAGGCAGAGCTGGTTCCATGCTGGTCATTTCCTCCCCAGCTTGCACCGTTAGGGCTTACGCATCAGAGAAGGGGGCTATTAGTTCCTGCCTCTCCCTCTGGTTTGCAGACCAGTTCTTAGCCCACAGATCTCTTATCTTAGAGATGTCTCCTGGCACTGCAGTCAGGCCCCTGGTTGCTGCTGGCTCTCCCACGCCAGGCAACATACAGTGCTCAGGCTGAGGGATCAAGAGGGTGAAACGAGCTGATTTGCAGAGGTGCTGCCATCTCCGTGCTCCAGCCCTCCATCTTCCCTACCCCAGAAAAGTGCAGAGTCCACACATTCCCTGGCTCTAGCACTGCAGATAAGCTAGGCAACACCTTGTTTATTTTTGGGTGACCATCCAACACTTCCCTGCCCCACCACATGGGTGTAGCTGCTGCTCCGCTTCTCCCAAGTGGAGCAGAGGCAGCACAGTGCAGCTCGGCCCTCAATGGATCAACTGCTTGGCACCAAGCGAAAGCTGCTGAAAGCACAAGGTTTTGAGGCTGGAAACAGTGACGAGCAACAAGCACACAGCCCTGCCCTGTAACATATGTACTGCCGAGGGAGAACATTTCCAGCCTTTCACAAGCCTTTCTAGTGGTACTGCCYTTGGTGTCCAGCACGGAGCCTGCGAGTTGAGCGGGGCCTAGAGAGCTGAGCGGGGCCTAGGGAGCTGGACAGGGCAGAGGGAGCTGGTGAGAGCAGCTACCAGCCCTGTGTGTCAGGACGAGAGCAGCACCAGTCAGACACTCTCCTGGGAGCGTGTCCTTCCTCCTCCGTGATGGGGGAACAGCCAAGGGGGAGCAAGGACAGCCCCGAAGGTGCCACAGGGAAAGGGGCTCCAGGTCTTGCTGCCAGGAAGAAGGGGGCTCTGAAGGCAGGACTGTGCTCACTCATGCTTTGCTTTTGCTTTTTGTTTTTTTCACAGTATCCAACCATGTATAGCACAGATCCTGAGCATGGGCATATATTCAACTGCATCCAGCGTGCACACCAAAACACGTAAGTACCACCTAARGACACAGGTGGTTGACACATAAGTAACTATAAAGCTGAGCCCCCAGCCAGGGCCTGTGTGCTACTAAACGCTCCGTTTCTGGCGTCGCACCCGAGGAAGATGCCTGGCTGTGTGTTGTGCACAGCAAGTCAGTGCTGCTTCTCCATCTCCAGCCCCCGCACTGACTCCCAAGAGTCAGGTCGAGCAGGGACCTTGCACTTCTCTGCTCTTCTGCAGAGATCTCTCTGCAAGCAACGTTGACACAAACCCTCCTCTCCTTTTTAGGTTGGAAACTTAYCCGTCCTTCCTGTTCTTCTTAGCCACCGGTGGAATCTACCACCCCGTAAGTGATACCGTTGGGGCAGGTCTCCCTAGCTAAACTTTGTTTTTTTGTCCCCCGCAGACAAGTTGTTGGACACAGTATTATTAGCCCCCACTGCCCTATTGGGGGAGAATCCCTCCAACTCTGCCAGGGTCCTTGATGTCCTGCAGGGTCCTACTGGGCAGGCAACAAGGCTACTCAGTATCTAGATTTGTAGAGGATGAGAACTAACCCCCTGTTTAAAAAAAAAATAAAAAAAAAAAAAAAAAAAAAAAAAAACTTTAAGAAAATTTTCAGCAAGCTTTTATGCCAAGAATAGAATGGTAACAGAATCACCTTCCCATTGCTTCCACCACCAAAGGAGACACAGTGTCGGGGGGACAGAAAAAAATAGATCATTTTTAAAAGAAAGGTATAAAAAAAGGCTTGAGGAGGTATCTGTGCAGCTTTTCCTTCACTGCCACCAGACAAATCAGCTCCTCCCTGAATATTCCTTCTCAGAGAGGGAAAGAGCAGCACAGACAAATCTAGTACTGTCTGGCAAACTGTAGCCATATTGCAGCAAGCTCTAAGTTGACAGATGAGGAATAAATCTCTTAACACCAGCAACAGCAAAGTCTGTGTGCAGTGGTGTGGTAGAGATCGAGGCAACTGCTGCCTGCAAAATCCTGGCATCCTGGACATGACTCCAGTTGTCCTAGCTGGGTAAGGACCCACGCTGTAGTTGGTGGTGTCCTCTTGAAGCGGGGCTGCTCTCCAAATAGCTGAGCCGGTCCAAATACCAACCTCTGAAACCCTTAATTCATCTCCTTTCCATCCAGCGCCTTGCGACAGGGTTTGGCATTGCCTGGATCCTCGGGAGAATCCTCTATGCCCACGGCTACTACACCGGAGGTGAGTCCGTAACCCGCAGCACACACAAAGTGCCTGGAAACTGAAWCACGCATGGGGGCCTCGGGGCTCTGTCCTCCAGCTCGTATCGAGGAGAAAGCATAAACCTTCCAGGGAGGCTGTAGGGAAAATGCTGCTGTTCTACAGCCTGCCAACTCTGCATTATTCTTGTCCTACTGACAGAAAGCACGCAAATYCTATAACTAATAGCACAGGCTCAGGGTAGCTACATGCCACAATCGGGTACCGTGCCGCAAGATTAAGATCTAGTTTTTGCCCCTTCTTTAATTTCCAGGCTGGGCTCATGTCTGAGTGATGGTATTTTACACTATTGAGCATATCTTCACTTACCAAAGGGAAAGGGCTTTGCTGAATTCAACTACTTCATTTCCCTACTTCTCATACTCCTTGAAATAAACCTAGCTGGATAGGGGTGCCTGACTTCACACCTCACTGGGCTCCCATTCCCAAAGGTTTCCCGGCCTTTGTCTCTTATAGGTGGGGACAAGGTCAGCCAAAGCCAGACGCTTGTGCCACCATGCCGTGTGCGTGGGGAAGGGTGTAAGCCCGCCCGCTGATGCGCGGCAGAGCTGCCTTCTGCTGCTGCACTGATAAAACGTGTTTCGTTTCTTTCTAGATCCTAAAAAAAGAATGAGAGGGGCCATTGGTTCAGCTGCACTCATTGGACTGCTGGGAACAGGGATTCATGCAGCTTTCCAGCACCTTGGCTGGGTCTGCCAGCACTAACTGGRCAGCTCAGTGGCTGCCCAGGAGACTGAAGAGATTTTTCTCTTTTCAAACACTTCATTTCCAATCTTCTTTTTTTCCTCATCATTAAAGGAATAAAATGAATTTAATTTCATTTTTCAAGTTGTAGAAAGGTTTTTTTTTTGAGAAGTTTTGCAGAAAGCAAGAACAACTCCTGTTCTTTAGAAACACAGAACACTAGCTGTTAGAGTCGTTGTTCTGGCTTTCAGGCCTTCAGTCCTTGCAACCTGTTTGCTTACCAGATACYGCAACAGCCCTGCTTTCTATCAGAATAGATTTCTGGGCCCCTTGATTCACATTGTACTGCAACAAGATGTTTCAAGCAAAATTAACATTTATTTGATTGCTGAAAAACATTGATGAACATATAAAGTGGCTTAATCATGATTATAAAGAAAAAAAAGGGCTTTTACAGAGTCAAACAGCTGTTACTTAAGACCATCAGTGACCTATCACCCATGTTAGAGCCTGCTACCACTCCCCTTGTGCTGTTTTTACCATGTGTGGRGAGACAGACTGTGTGGCCACAGCTGTCCCAGAAAGCATCAGCTCATTATTCCCACAATATCCTGGCACACCTTGGAGGTGAGACACAGGGAGAAGGGAAAAAAATTCTGATCACTGTGGGCTAAGAGGAAAAAGGAAAAAAAGAAAAAAGAAAAAAATGTCCCACACTTGAGACATTTTTCATCAGGGAAGAGACAGGGGTTWCATCCATGGGATATCGAGGTGTCCGAAAGTTTACATATGCATTGATARGATGATACCTGTTAAGTTGGCAAAAATAAAGTTGACTAAGGGTGGAGGACAATGCAATGGAGTGGGGGTAAGGTTACAACACACAGCCGGGGRGCAGCCAGGGCTGTGTCTCTGCCCCTGAGAAGCCCACGATAGTTATTCACTAGCAGCACATGCTACTGATGRAAACCTCATAATTGTCTCCTTGAGTTTGAGGTTTCTACCTCCAAAGARGGCAGAGCAGAACCACAGGCCTAGCCCACCACGTACATTCCCCTTGCAGGATCAGGGTGGCAAAAAGCTGCTCCAACCCTGCAACTCCTTTCCTCCAAGGCACTTACAATTTTAGAGCACTTTATTGCTGTGCAAATGATCCACACCTCCGGGTGACAGGCAAGGGCTGACTGCTGCTCCCTTGAACAGCCTCAGAGCCACTAAAACACAGACTCCACATCACCCATCTCCACACAGACGGTCTTCAGCTGTGAGTAGTACTCAATGGCTGCCCGTCCATTTTCCCTGCCAAATCCTGCAGTAATAAGAGAGAAATGAAAGACCAGCTCCAAGGCAGTGAGAACATGAGCCATGTGCTCAGTGGCTAGTGCCCACAAATGCCACCCCACAGTGGCATTTGTGATCATCCCCAGAGTAAAATACAGTTGAGCTCAGATGCAAGACCATGTACACAAAAGCTCCTCAACTTGCTTTCTCATACAGAGCTCTAGCTGAAACTCCAGCTTCTTTATCAGCTCCCAGCGTGGCATTTGTTTCCCCCAAAGAGCCCACTCGCATCTGCCATCACAGGAGCAGGAACATCCCATCCCCTGTGCACACGGGGACCCATTTCGCCTTCCCTGGGCCAGAGCTCACCTGATGATTTGTATCCTCCAAAAGGCAGTTCCACAGGGCTGATGTTGTAGTTGTTAATGAAGCACATTCCAGCCTTGAGAGCAGCCACTACCCTGTGAGCCTTCTGGATATCCCTGCCAGAAAAGGGTAGTTCAGCTGGAGCCTCTCCTTCCCTCCTCTCCTCCCAAGCCTGTTGACAGCCCCCTTTGAGAAGGCCACAAGGTCCCCAATGAGGTCACCAACCTTCTGGAGCCTCACCTGCCCTACTCGCTCTGCTCAAAGGATGTGGCACCTATTCCCAGGGACATTTAAAATGGCATTTGCGATACAGATGGCAGACCAAGAACACCAGCACAGCAGGCTACGGCAGAGAGCCCTCTGTGCACTTCCAGAGCATGGCAGACTCCAGGAGCCCATCYCCTGGAGATGCAGGAAGGTGGCCAGCAGGCCAAGCACAGACTGGTAAGAGTCTGAAGGACAGCTGGGCCCACCTAACCCTTCAGGACAAGCTGCAAAGAGCTTTGCAGGCATTTTCAAAGYCCCCTTCTGGCATTTCTTCTCAGTAGCCTTCCCTGGAGGAGGAGATCCATGCCAGACACTGCAAGAGGTGTATCAAGCTGCTGTGGTGCTTCCCCTCTCCCCAGGCTGCTTCCCACACCAGCCCCACTTCCCCACTGTACCTGGTGAAGACACCACCTGCCAGGCCAAATTTAGTGTTGTTGGCTCTCTCCACAACTTCCTCCTCCGTGTCAAATGGCAGGATGGACATGACAGGTCCGAAGATCTCTTCCTTCACACACGTCATGTCATCCGTGCAGTTCCCTAGAAGCAGGGCACACAAGCTTGAGGAGGAAGAGCTGCTGGCTGGTCCACCACATTCAGAAGCCCACACAACCTTCTAAGAAGCACTTGGCACTGCACACTCCCCGAGCTTGGCTGGCACAGAAAGAAATCCCATCATGAACTTCAAGGCAGCAGAGGCGCTAGCTGCATGTCCCATCAGACCCTCCAACAGCAGGGAACTGTTTGTGTGCAGTCTCCTACACATCTGAGCTATTTCTACTACATATTTATACTAGTCCAGACGGACATGCACAGAGAGGGGTGGCACTGAACAGTTTTTCCTGTAAGGTACTGAGCTTAGCAACATGGTGCCACTATCTACCCCTATAGAAGAAAGCATCACCATAAATAGGAAAGACCATACCCAGCACACAGGGTCGCATGTAGTAGCCATTCTTCAGCTTYGGGTCATCTGGAACATACAGGTCGCCACCACACAGCACCTTTGCCCCCTGGAAAAGGACCAAGCAGAAGGTAGATAGACAAGCCCAGCAGCATCCTGCCCAGCTCCGACTGCCCTCACACAGCTAATTCATTGCCCAACCCGCCCAAGTGGGGAAATGAGGAGTTATATAAGGAGCCTGCAGTTAAACTCTACCACTCGAGGGCTCTTGGAGATGATGACCAAGTTTGGATTCTTACTCACAATCCATCCTAAAGGCCCAAACAATGCTGGTTTGGGGCACAAGTCTAACAGGGGCCGAGGTAGGTTGGAGGGAAGCAACTAAACCTGGAAGCAGATCCTCAGCTGGCATCACGTTAACCTCCATACCTTCACCTGGTGGGATCTCCTTCATTAGCAACTTAGCAAGTCAGTCAGTACCTCAGCACTCCACTTGGAAAGAAATACCYTTTCTGTCAGATATGCTGCTTTGGGGACAATAGGTCCCCCAAACCTTCCCCAGATCTCACTTTCCTTGTTCCCAAATCCTGGTTTACTCTCTCCTGGCTTTACTCATATGTCTCCTTTTACAGTCCATCTTCCAAAATGAGCAGCCATACAGCTTGTGCTGACATTTAATGCATTCTTTACACTTTAAAATAAATATTTGAAGGAAAAAAAATGAATAAATCTTTTTRGTTTTAGCAAGATTGCTCCTAGCAACCTGTGAACGTAAGTGGGCACCACTGCTTTAGAYGCCTTTCATCCTTACTAAGCTCCTTCTGCAACCAATAAAACCGRAGGCCAAGATGACAAGCAAATGTGTAACGTGTCACTATGGCTTATAAAAAGCAACCAGCCCCAGCCGAACTGTGTGGATTCACCCATTTTACACACTGCAATATTGGGTATCCTACCGCCTGCAACAGCAGCATCTGAAATGCAACATCACTTTCAGCCCTGATTCAGAGATATGCACTGGGTCACTTTTAATCTAGTGACTCTCAAGGTACCTTCCAAGCAATTCCATCAGAGCAAGAAATAAACCTTAGTTGGGAAGACATGGGACAGGGGAGGCAGCTGGCTGTCCGTGAGTAACACCAAACCCAGACATCTCTGGGCAGGCCCTGGGCAGCATCACGCTCCCACCTGCTCCTTTGCCTGCTTGATGAAGCCCTGCACGCGGTCCAGGTGTGGCCGGTTGATGAGGGCTCCCATCCGTGTGTCTTCCAGAAGCGGGTCTCCAACTTTGATTTTCTGTGTGCGTTTCACCACCTCTTTTGTGAAGGCATCCAGTATTTCTCTCTGCACAAACACCCGCGTGCCGTTGCAGCACACCTGAGACGAGGAATAGGCTGTTCAGGATAACACACACAATTCCTAGTCCTTCCCTGCAAGGTTCCTGCTCTAGGGAAGCCCAAAGAAACCTCCCCACAGCAGCAAACACAGACAGCCTGTCCCTGAGGGTGACGAAGACTGGACTCCACAGTATTATGATGGTACTGATGCCACCAAGTGGCAAAAACACAGGAGGTCACCAGCAGSACATGATTTGAGCTGACTGCTCAGTTCCCACAAGTGACCCACATAAGACACATTGCCAAAAAAATTGCACAGATGCTGCAGCGTATGTAGAGACACCAAAACTAGGACAGAAAAAGCCTCTGTGGCATCTCTCACTGCYCAAGGCTGGTGTAAACCCACAAGATGGATCTGCTGCCCATTTTTCCTCCCTACCACAGCCACTCCATGGTGGGACCAGAAACAAACCTCGCCCTGTGTGAGAAAGTTGGCCATGAGGGCTCCATTCACTGCATTCTCCAAGACACTGTCCGAGAAGATGATGAGGGGGGATTTGCCTCCCAGCTCCAGGGTGACTGGTTTGATCCCTTTGGCTGCCATCTCCATGATCTGATGGAAACAAGGACAGAAGGGACAAGCAACTCACTGACAGAAGGACAGACTAGAGGGAGGTAGGAGGCACCCGAGGGGAGAGTTTCCACACGTCCAGGGACCTTCAGGAAAAATATAAACAACTCTAGTGTGCACAAAGAACAAGCTGAGATTTCTGGACTTGTTTAGTCCAGACTGAGGACAGTCTCACTTTTTGTTTCCAGTAAAAACACATATGAATGAAGGAAACCTGTGGTCTGGAGGAGGGAGAATGTTGTTATTTGAATGGGTTTATACTGAATGTACAATTTCCTCCAAATGACTCTTTAGGTTATATGTGTTTTTACGGAATTGCAGTAAAAGAACAATTTGCAGGTGGCAAACTCACAGACACTAACCTTCCTGAGTCCCTTACCTTGACACCAGTTGGCACGCTACCGGTGAAAGAGATTTTAGCCACATCTGGGTGGTGACAGAGGAACTGGCCAGTGGCCACTCCACCCTGCACAACGTTGAAGAGCCCTTTGGGCACACCAGCCTCCGTGAAGATCTCTGCCAGCCTCACCACCGAAATGGGGGTGAAGGGAGAGGGCTTGAAGACCATAGCGTTGCCTAGGGGTACCCAGAAACAGAAAACAAAAAACAAACAAACAAACAAAAGTCTTGGATTTGTCAGTGCAAATCCCAAGAGACCCCTCAGAGACTTCAACTGAACACTCTGTAAGCACCAAAATGGGATGACTGCACATTCCTGCTGGGAAGAGCTGGGAGATACTGGGTGTTTGCTCCTGCCCTGCAGACTTTCCCAGAGATCTTTCCTCCTCTGGTACAAAGCCAAGCAACCAACTTTTTTTGCTGATGCCTTCTCTGTTCTCTTAGCACCTGCTGCACCCTCATTTCAATTTCCTTTTCCTTCCTGCAAGAGGAATACCCTCAAGGGTCCTCTGAGGCTTCAGCAGCTCCTCAAGGCACCCCTAGACACTGCAGTTTTACCCCCCACACTGCTGTGCCCCTGGGGATCCCTTGGCCTTAAGGAGAATTTTGCATGGGGAGTAGGTCTCTGTTACCACAAGCCAAGGCTGGGGCAGATTTCCAGCAGGCAATCTGAAAAGGGTAATTCCAGGCTCCAATCCCAACACAAACGCCAAGTGGCTCTCTTCTTGTGTATCCAAAGGATCCCCCAGGAAGCTGGATGTGTTCACCTGCAAAGAGGAAAACACACAGAAAGTAGAGAAGAACAAAGCCTCTCCTTGTATTATCAGAGCTTCAGGGGACAGATCTCCAGAACACACAGTTTTTACTTCACCAAGTTCACTGAAGACACACAAGAACCCACAAAACACGGAAGTGTTAGGATACAGATCTCCAAAAACCCTTCTGAGATTTTCAAAAAATGAAAATCACGTTTCTCTTAAGAGAAACCAACAGCAAAGATCCTCTTGCACCATGGAAGCTACCAAGAGAGGCTCTAAACTCCAATAAAGTTCTCACCAGCTAGAGATCCTGCCAGTCCTGCATAATACTCCAGGCACTGCCAAGATATGTCAATGTCCACTCTGGCTTCGAAGATGGATTTCCCATTGTTGATGGTTTCCAAGGTGGCAATTTCATCTCTCTGCTCCTGTGAGGGCAGTAATATGACAAAATATTAGGAAAGGGGGTGGCAATACTCCACAGGGAGAGAGCTGCTTCCCAAGTAGGCAAGTTCCAAGGCCTGTCTGCCATCAGTACCATCTAGTCCTCTCTAATAGGGATGTTCCTAAATTGCTATTTATCATTTTGCTCGTGGTGAGTGGTCACAGGGGAACATCAAACAGACATCTGCTGCAGTCCCCSACCACTAGCTAGGCTTGCTTAACATTCCCCATTTATCTAAATCTTCTCCATTTATCTAAAAGATCAGCAAACCTGCATCAAGACACAGCCTGGTAAACAGTGAGTAGAGTTCACAGAACTAAACTGAAAGCAATAGCAAAGAGCAAGACCAAAATGAATCTGAAGAAATAAGTGAAGATTGGACAAAGCAACACAGCTGAGAAGTCTGGCAGATACAGAAGTTTGAGAAAAACGTTTCCTCTTTCTGCCACGTACTGGAAGTCCATTTTCTTACAGGACTTCCAGGACTTGATGGAGAGAATCACTCTGATGTCCAAGAGCACACAAGCTCAGAAAGGAATCTGCGTTAAAGCTAACTTATTTCTCCCTCGCGAGTGTTATCTGGTGTCTAACAAAAATATGACATTCTTGTGATTTCACTGCTAAAACAAAACACTGGTCACACAACAACAGCTGGGAAGATGGAAGTTCAGCATCCTGACAGGCACTTTTGGCTCTGAAGTCACATGCAGTGAGTCCTAATCTTTGGGCTCATGGAAAGCATTTCGACCCTTGCGAGATCTTGGCTGGACAGCTTCCATTTTATGTCTTCTAATGCGATTAAGTAAACATAGATCTTGAGTACAAGCAGTGTATTCAAACTCCAGTATATACTGTTGCAGAAAGAGGACTTCAGACAAAAACAAGGCGGGGGGAAAAGAGCCCAGGAAAGGCTTTACACAGCAAAGATAAGAAGATAAAGAATAAACCCAGTCTGAACAGCAGGGCAGGCCTGGCTGCTCTGCCCATGACAACCTACTCTCTRTGCTGGGCAAAGGTGGTTTTTAACCCCTGGAAGTCCAGGGGCCATCAGACACRTGGCAGCCATATCCATCCACAGGAAAGCTCAGAGACAAAAGCAGCTCTCTCCAAAAGGGGGGCTGATCTTCTGCAACGCACCCGGATAATCCTGGCAGCCTCCAGCAGCACCCTGCTCCGCTCCATGCCCGACAGCTGACTCCATACTTTGAAGGCAGCCTTTGCGCTCTGCACGGCCAGGTCCACCTCCTTCTCCCCCGAGCAGAGAAGCTTGCTTATCACTCGACCTGAGCACGTTTAACAGGAGAAAACATGCAAGTCTCAGCAGAAAAGCACAAAGAGAATAGGGGTCATCAGCCTTTATACATTCCTACATTGCAATCTAAAGATTTTAGCGTGATTGCACCAGGCTGAAGACTCCTAATATTCCCTAAAACATAAGGCCTATTAAAACTCAACTTTTTTTTTTTTTTTTTTTTTAAGAAGAG